CAAGGAAGAACGAAGTCGGTCGGCGAACGGAAAGAGCGATGACAAAATTCGCGATGGTTGAGGATGCATGATTTGGCGAAGGAGGCGTCGGAGGAAACCTCGTTGTGACTGAGGAACCCAATAAAAGAATGGAACAACAGTAGAAGCAAGACGACATCAGACTAGAGACGACGAGTGGCAAAAGAAATAACAACAATCGCGGACGAAGAAGGCAGTGGAGACGATAATTGTGACGGAAGCAATGACGTCAGGATCTTTGGTGAATGATACCATGTGAGAAAGGTACCATGTGAGAAAGGTGCCATTGACGACCGGAAGCGATGAACAGCCGGTGGCCTATGGAGAGGAATGAAGCCTCTGATTTATGAAATGCAGTTTTGTTGTTTATTAGAGTCACAGAAAGAACGAGTATATTGAAAATATTCAAAAGAGTGTGTTTAACCCATTACAACTAGTGGACTTATATAGGCCATATTGCTAACCGTCTAACAAATCCATCCAACAGACTAACAGTCAAAACAAACTAATTGTTAATTCTAGTTTATTTCTAACATGGGGAGTCTATGATGGACTCTAAGCTCACAGCAAGTATGAATCTACAGCAGCTGCAACTTGAAACAGATTGCGAGGTATGATTAATACTAAAACAAGGAAGCAGCATGGATCGGATATCACCTATGAAGGTGCACCTCATTGGCATGATCTAGAGTAATACGTTCATCACGAAGGAAATAGAGTAGCTGATGCAATGACAAAACTGACTTGGGGATAACCTGCCGGCATCAGGACATTTATACAACCGCCGGAGACAGTTGAACTGCTAGTCCAAGAGGAAGGAACTGCAGGCGAAAGGGATACTGCTACCCTATGTTGAGACTATAAGTTTGTTTATTACTCTTTTCACATTCAAAAAACAAATGGTTATTACTTGTGTAGGGGAAATTATGCTTTATAAGCTCCATTCATACATATTTGTGACAGTTTTGTTGAAAGATCCATTTGTTCACATGTGGGGTAGACACCATAATTCTAATTACAATATAAATATGGTATAATTAATTAATTAATACAATACGACATGTTTAAACATTATTTGAATCAAAATTAAAATAAATTTGAATAACACAAAAGTTCTCGTTCGAATCTGATACAAATAGTGAATCTAATATCCAAATCAATATATAATCCAAATTTACCAAAATACACAATTGTTTACCCATTTTTCTTGTTCATTTATGCACTAAATGCCTAAATTACTAATGCAAAACAATAGTTAAAAACTGATATTCGGAATTTTCAAACAGATACTTCATAGGAAGCCTTATCTAATAAAATTCAGGCAACATAGAGCTCTACGGAAAATAAAGATCATTTACATTTCCCAGTGTATGAACATAATCATAATCATAAAGAACTCGCTCAATTTGGGAGGCTTTGCTTTGATAGTGTTGTATTTCAGCTCCTTTTGATGAGCCCAAGAATCACAAATACATAACCACACCATTCTTGGTGCCAAATATACGATGTGTTTCAATCAGACAAAACTGTTTCAGAAATGCCTTCGATATGGCTGGTGATGCTCGGGAACTCCTTCCTCATTGCGCTTATCCTCGAACCATTTTACAACTCTTTTTCGGGGCAAATTTGTCACTTGCACGATGCTGCTAATCATTGTGTTCTGCATTGTTCATATAGAGCATCCAATATGTGAGATCATTGCTTCTAGCAAACAAACTTCAGCTTGAAAAAATAAAAAAATACAGCATTGATTCCCAACAAAATAAGCATATCAATACAAACTTGGGGACAAAACAAACTTGGAAAACCAAGGCTCCACCAAACAGGAAGCAAATATATAAAGAATGAAGTATATATAATGTCATATTACATATAGACATAGTATATGGATGCCTTCTCAAGAGAAGTTGTCTCTCCACTGATTTGGATCTTATTCGTGGAAAGAAATTGTGGAATTACTCATATGTCATGTTAATCCAACTCTTCATTTTTCTTAAGTACCCATATCTACAACATATCCAGACACGTGTATGGGGTAAAATCATCTAAATATACGAAATAACTCAGAGAAAAAGAGCATACCCATGTCGGAAACATACTTCTATTGACATTCAACCACATGTCCAAGTAACATAGCTCAAATGTTTTAGTTTTCTGAACTTCCAAAAGCAATAAATGTAATTCCCCTTGATTCAACAGTACCCTAAACATGGATTTTCAACAATATTGATTCCAAAATCAATTTCAGTCCTTGAATAATCTCTCAATGAAATCACTTGATCTCACTTTCAAAACATAAGGTTTACGATGACTTGCTCAGAGGCTCAGATACTTACTAGCATTGGCATGCATGATCAATCTAAGAACATAGGTAAGTGGTAATAGCATATATGAATGTTCTTAAACTGCACAAACTTTACTTACAGTAGGCCGCTTTGATCTTCTATAAACTTTTCAAGAGTTTCAACATGCACTTTCTTCAATCTCTTTTGGGCAGACCATCTTTGTTGCATCACATGGACTGGCTCCTTCACCTTTGGCTCATGTTTCACACTCTCCATTGTTATCTCAGAAACCTCAGTTTCTATATGTTCGATTTCAGGCACCAGTTCAGGTTCCCTCTTAACTGGTTCATCAGGCAATGTAGCACTCATCATTAGAAGCTCTGGAGGCGGCTCACGGAGCAATTCAAGTACCACAGCCCGATCAAGACATAGCTCTGCAGCAAGAGTTTTAATCTACACAAGCAAGAAAGAGATAAATTTAGCATTACAAAGCAATAAGTTTTCCCAAATATTTAAAGAATGGGATATAGATATCGGACATGAATACTTTAAGGAAAGAAAATGAAGTGTCGAGCAACATAAACAAGTACAATAATCAATGAAACAAGCAGGCAAACTTATCAAACATCATTCTAAAGGTAGCATTCAAACATCGAAATAATGAAAAACAAGAGTTTCTGCCAACCCTAATCAAATTTCAGATAAAAGAAACAATTGATTTAACTAATTTCAAACTATTGGTTCACTTTTTGCAATGATAAATGCAGTAAATATCAAGAACTCACACTAGTTTTACGACGGCCAACTTTGAGAGCAGTAGCCAATCTTCGAAGCTGCCAATTCTTCAGCTTCACGGGGCTTTTCTTTTCTTCATCGTCTTCGTCCTCCACCTCTTCTTCAGCATCATCCGGGGTTGAGGTAAATCCTTCAAAATCGAAATCCCCAAGTGCTTCAGCCAATTCATTTGCAAGCCTCTCAATGTCTTCTTCTTTTATCTCACCCCCTTCATCATCATCATCATCTTCGTCCCTGTCTGAATTATCATTCTTAAGGTCTTCTTCCAGCTGATTGAAAAGAGCTTCAAAAGGGTCTGCTTCAAAATCCTCCTCCTCCACTACTCTTTTCTTCTCTTTCTTCACTCTGTTTTTCTTCGCAGAAGAAGCGCTTACCGGTGGTTTGCTCCGGCGGCGAGCGAAAGCCAGCGTAGACCGGCGACGAGGTTGATGTGCCTGAAGAATACTAAAAGCCCTCGGTTGAATTATGGAAACTCGTCCTCTGCAAGAAGAAGGTAGCAAAAGCCGTACGCACATTGAAGAGTTCAATGACAAAGCAGAAGCCATTAAAGGAAAACTAAAAGAAAAATAAAAAAAATCTGTATCAGAAAAGAGTAGAGAAGAGGGTTTATGGTTTAGGATTTGATATTATCCGTTCGCAATCAAAATGTAAATAGTCACCCGGTTTAATTTGTAGCGGGATTAATTGCAATGTTGGTCCTCTAACTATGATTTAAATTTTAAACTAATTTTTAAACTTTAAAACTAGTTATGTTATTAAATCATCAATATGATCAATTAAGTCATTTCGTCAAATGCCGATGCAAATCTGACATCAAACATCAAATTGACATTCAAAACATCTAAATGGGCAGTTAAACCGACACCCTGATATTGTTAGTACAATACTAAAATTTTAAAAATTCAACTAAAATATTTTAAAGAATGGATTGTACCAGACATCAATAAATTATGCCTAGATTTTATATTATATCTTAAAATTTAAAATATTTTAAAGTAATTACAAACTATCAATATTATTTCAAACACGTTTTTTTTGTTAATTATTAAACTACTTGAACAATAAATGTCAGTTGTGGGTTATTTTGAATTTTTTAAAATTATTGGATCAAGTTTAAAAATATGTACATGTTACATGAATAGTTTGAATTCGTCATGTAAAAGATTAGTTTTCATTATAATTTAAAATGATTATTAACATATCATATTTAAATTATTCATACACTGATTTACAATGTTTAAAATAAAATACACATATTTTAAAATATACTCTCATCGTTTATATGTTGGTTGTTGTATGTGCTGGTATTTAATGCTCAAATAATTTGTCAAACTAACAAAATGATATAAAGTAAGACACAATGTTTAAAGTGAGATACACATAGTTTAAAGATTAATTTAAAACATTTCAAAGTTTTGGGAATAACTTAGAAATTGAGACATAGTTTGGAGTAGTCTGATACAAGGAACTCTATTTTAAAAGTACAATTAACCCAATTAAAATTTATACTTATAGTCACTAAGCTATAGAATATGTTCTATTTTGATCACTTAATTATAATTTTTCAATTAGATAACTAAATTATTAAAATAATTTCAATCAAATCACCTATTGTTAATTCTTAAAGAAAATGTTGATGTGATAATTAAATGAATTTTTATTATTAAACATTTGGTATAATAATATTTAATTAGAATTTATATAAAAATTTATAGATTATGAATGGTGATAAAATTCAAAATTGATTTTATAAAGTCAATTTTTTTATCAACTACATGGGCTAACACTCATTTGGCTCCGATCCAGTACTGCAGATCAAATTTATACGACGCCGTTTCTACGCATTCAAAACGCACCGTCTTTCAACATTTATACTCCAGATCAGATCATCAATCTCCCTGTCGGTTTTTGTTTCTGGGGATCTTAGATTTTTCTCAAAGGTCTCTCTGAATGCAACTCCGTTCATCATCGTCGTCGTCTTCGAGGAGGGGATGGCTCAGCAGCATCTCCTCAATTTCCTCTCGTATTTATTTCTTCCTTATCTTCCTTCAGATCCCACTTTTCAGGTCAAACACTTTTTCCCCCAAGCTTATATCCTAAGCTGTTTCTCAATTGTGTATTCATTCATTTTTACTTTTTTCATGCTTTAGCATCTGGGTTTTGGCTATTTCGACTTTTGGGTTGAATTGTTGCTTACTGCTCTCTCTTGCTAGTTCTTTTTAGCTACGTTTGGGGTCTGTATTTAGTTGTATTCTTTGCCTTTAAGTTCCGTCGTTTTATTTTTAGCAACTTGTTATTTCATAAAGGTGATTGACCTATTTGGATGTTCTCTATCGAGATTTATTTCTTCAAATTGGATTTGATAAACGAACAGTGAATATGAAAGGAAGCGCCAAGGAGAAGCTATGGAGTGTTGAAATTAATCTTCTGTTCAGTGGATCTTGTAATAATGTTGTTTCTATCATAATTTGTTGTGAGGTTGACTTTTGGGGATATATCATTATTAAAAGAATTGGTCGACAGATGAGGGCTTTTAAGGTTATTCGAAAGGTTTCCTAGGTTCAAAGTACCCTGGAATGGAGGAATGTCACTCTGCATTTAAATCCATTGTTATTCACTGCAAATGTGAATTCCAGGAAGAGTTTTTGCTTCAACGGTATGAGAAAATTATTTCCAAAGTTAACAAGATTGGCCCACGTATTAAAGGATTTTGGATTTAGTTGATGGATGACTTGGAATATGAATGATGATGCAATCATCATCGATGATCACATTGAACGTAAACTGAATCAGCTAATGCTAGAAAATATGTTTTACATTTGACTCTTTTAGTAAATCTAGTTGAAAGAGAGCACATGGTTGTGAATTTGTTAACTAAAGCCAGCAATATCTTGAATGTTACTGCTCAACAGAATTAGTGCGTCTAACAATGTCCATGGGTTACAGAACATTGGGTATGGGGAGGTGCACTTAAGGAAATATTGAATGAATGCAAGGGTTCATTTGTTCTGTGAAAAAGTCTTTTGAAAAGTCACTTCTGAAAAATGGACTTATTTTTGGGATTTTTTTTTTTTTATATTTTCTATCGTTTGATGATTTTGCATAAAATATTTTCTGTTGGTTTGCTGTGTTTTCTGGGAAATCTGGTTAATGTAATGGGATTGATCTCTATACTTATGGGCCTTATCCTTCTTTTATTTGCTTCAGCTTCTGTTCTTAAGGGATCAATTTGTTTTTGCTTTGGTGTATGATCTTTCTTTTTGTTCTTTAGTTTTCAAAAAATGTCTTTTATTTTTTGGTTCCTTAATCACCATACAACTTTGTTTTTGTTCCTGTAAACGTGATTCTTGTTTTTATATTCAAGATGTGAAATGGAACAAAGTTGCAAGTTTCTGTTTTATCAGCGTCCTTGTCTAGTGGCTGTAATGTATTCTGCCTGATCAATTGTTCAGTGCGATATAGACTGTTGAATTGTGTTATTTTAAGTTTGCTCTGCTCTCGGAAAAACAGTTCTTCCAATTTTGGATAGGTCTCCTGGTAATGTTGATGCAAACTGAGCTCATTCATTGCGTGCTTTACTTTTGTTGCCTTTACTGGATACATGCACATTTATTCATTGACTGTTTTGGAAATATTTCGGAAATAGATAAAGACATTCCTCTTTTCTTTTTCAATGATCGTATTGATTTATGAACATATAGATGATTAAAATATACTAGAATTTGATTCCGGACTTAGGCTATTTTCAGCTTTTCTCTTTTGGCAGGATATCATGCAGATCTGGAATGTGCTCAACTCCAATTCATGTCACATCTTCCCAGTTGATTGCAAGTGACATCTTTCCTGTACCTGTGATCAAGGCAATCCTCTATCCGGGGGCCATTACTAATGGTCTTGTCAAGAACATGACTATTCCAAGCTGGGACAACCTGTTAAACATCTATAACTTAACCAGTGTAAAGGAATCGTCTCCAGTACCTGATCTCCAGCGCTTAGAGGTTCTTATCCTTGACATTTTTATCTTTCTAATTTTCAGTTTTTAAGCTTTTTTAGCATTTCTATGAAGAAATTTACTGGTCTGTTACTAGTAGAGCTTGTAGAGAAGCATATATGTAATCACAAGGGTCCCCTGTAAGGTATTGCTGACCAAATGTCATTAGAGCTGAGCATGATTTGGATTTGGGCACTGTCTCTAGGACTGTATAGAAGAAACCTATACACGAAGCTACTTGGCCTTGGCTTGAAAACTTGATTCAGATTTGGTCATTGTCGAGCCAAGCATGAGTTTGAGCAGCTTGAGCTAGCCGAGTAGAAATATACAACCTTCCGTCTTGAATAACTTATGAGCCTAATTGAGTTATTTTTTGTTAGTATTGAAAAATTTCCAATTCAATTTTGAATTCAAGAATAGAACCGAGCTCATTTTTTTCTAGCTAAATAACCTTATTTGAGTCTAATCAAGTGAGCTTGAGCAGTTCGATTTTGTTCTCAAATTGAGCTTATTTTCTTCCCTCACTGTATTCACCATACTTGCTACAATTGTTGTCCAAAAATTTATTTCCTTTCATAAGCCCAATCCTGTTGGAAATGCAATCATCTTGTAACCTCTCATATATTGGGTTCTCATACAGGTCCTGGCAGGAAGTTACTTCTGCGTAGCAGGAGCACTTGTGGGACTTCTAAAACCTGGAAGAATGAGCATGTTTGGGACACTTCTTGTAATATGGGGTCTTGTCAAGGAAGGGATCATAGGAAAGCCGGTAAATACTGATCCTACCAAAGCTGTATATGTATATCCGACGATGGTGCTTGCGCTAATTTGTGCCTTGTCATCGATCAAGTATGACGTGAAGAAAGTTATGAGAACTGCCCCTGCACGACCGATTGCAAAGCCTCTGCAGAGCTCTTCCAAATCTAAGTTGAAATGATTGGGAATTTCCCCCCATTTTGATGGAGTGAAAAGCTATTTTAATCATTTCCTTTTATACGAACTCTTGTAACCAATCAGCTGAAGTGTCTTTCCATAGAAGTTCCGAAACCTCATTTTCTGCTTCGAATTAATTAGAGTCATTAGCCGTTGTCTTCTGGAGCTGCATACCATACTTGGAACTAATTTCGATGCCGAGACATAGATTTACTGCATGCAGGGTGAAATAAGGGCAGTAATCCATAGTTTGAAGCCAACAGAATATTATCCGCTAGCACTAGCAGGCATGGCATTGAGTCTCGGAGCTTCAATCAGTTTTCGTATTTAGCGTCGTTCTGGTTTGTTGTGTTTAGTATGTTTTTTCAGCCATGGGCTTTTTGTTCATCCCTTTTGCTTCTGTTTTCAGGTTTCTGAGTTGTGTTTTCTGTTTGAATAAAATGAATAAATTTTCATAATGCTTTGCTTGGCTTCCTTGAAAACTTGACTTTATGCATAGCATTGTGATGATGTTGTTTTCTCTTCTTTTTAAGATTAACAACATAGAAAGAAGGGGGGAAGGAATCTATATAGTTCTACAAAACATGTAGTTTTAAATATCAATATAGTTATGTTAAAATGATGTTGTTTTATTTTTAATGGTCTAGTGTTCAAACATTCAATGATATCTAATATGGTTTATTTCATTTTTTTTAAATTTTTTTTGAATATATCTTTTTTTTAAAAATTTTATATGAACTACATGTATTATTATTGAATTTAGAATAATCTGATTCGTACGTTGAGAAAAAATTAAAATAATTCATTTTATAAAAATAATATTTTATTTTAAAAATGAATTCAGGTGGGGAAGTTTTAGATTTTTATTGAAAATTTGGGTTGAATACTAACTTTTGATTTTTGCTAAAATTATTCTTTTATAACTTCATATAATAAATTTTGATTTTGATATAATTTTTTACTAAAATTATCCGCTTACTTGCCGGTTGAAAAACAAGAAAATTTATTTTCATTTAAATTTAATTATTAAATATATAAATATTGTCATATTTTTTAATAATAAAAGCACTATCGGATTAAGCTTATTAAAAAAAAAAAGACTACCGTACGGCTGACATATCTGCGAGCAAAGAAAAGAGAAAAAGAAAAATTCGAATTTGACCGAAACGACGCTGTTTACCATATTTTGAAAGGCTGGGGTTTCAGCCTTTGCATTAGAGGCTTAAACAAAAGGCCCAGAAGAAAAAGGGCGGCGGCGTTGAGGAAGAAAGGGAAAGAAATGGCGGAAAGAGTTTGTCAAGGGACGAAGGATCCATGGAGAGTCTTAGAATTCTACAGCGGCATTGGCGGCATGGTTGGTATTTGTTAAAACCCCCCAAGTTCATGATTTTCCACTTTTCCCCCCATCGAATTAGTGTTTGATTATTGTAGTGAGTTATTTATTCACATTTCACTGTTTCAGAGGTATTCTCTAATGAAAGCTGGCGTCAAATATCATATAGTAGAAGCCTTCGAAATCAACGATAAAGCTAATGATGTTTATCAGCACAATTTCGGTCATCGCCCTTATCAGGTTCTCTGCAATGGGTTTTCTAGAATGATATTATATGTTTTGGAATTATGATCTTTTTTTTTTAGAATCAGCTCAGTTTATTACTTTAGTTTCTTTTTCCCTTTTTTGTGATATCTGGTTACAGTTAACTATAAATTTTTCGTTTTCAGTTTCTATGCATTGGTCTTAGGCTACTGAAACAATGAAGGTTCTTATTATTTACGTGTTTATGTTTTGTTGAACAATGTGGTGGTGGAGATAGGGAAATATTCAGAATCTAACTGAAATTGATCTCGATATTTATGGAGCAAATGTATGGCTTCTTTCACCTCCTTGCCAGCCATATACTAGACAAGGTGAAGCTTGCTAATGTTTCTTGTTGCACATTGAACAGATTATTTTATTAGTTGATGAATAGCTCTTTGAATATGAGACAACACTTTTTTTTTTCATTTGTTAGGTCTCCAGAAACACTCTGCTGATGCTCGAGCATTTTCATTTCTTAATATTCTTGAACTTATACCACGCATGTCAAAACCTCCAAATATGTTACTTGTAGAAAATGTTGTTGGATTGAGGTATGTTTCTTGAGGATGTTTTTGCAACATGATCTGTATGTGTAACACGAGTTCTTTTACTTCTCATATTTCTAATCTCTTCTCTGTGTGTGTGTGTGTGGAAATGTTTCAGACTTCAGATACTCATGCAAAAATGGTAGAAGTATTGGCAAGATCTGATTTTGTTGTGCAGGAATTTATATTGAGCCCACTTCAATTTGGGGTTCCTTATTCTAGACCACGCTATTTTTGCCTGGTTCTCTCTCTCTCTCCCTCTCTCTCTTAATATTTAGAATGTTCTGTAATTCATTCAATAACTTAGGTTTTCAGCATTGTCGAGCAATAGAATGATTCAACAAATAAATTCAGCTCACCTTGACTAATGTTCAAGTTTTAATGCATTACTTAAGTTATCCAATATTGTGTCAATTTGTTCATAACTTGAATACTCCTTCATATATATATGTGTGTGAGTGCTTAAATATGAGACTAGGGGAAGTAGTTTGGGACTTGGGAGAAGTCTGATATAGTAATAAATTGTGTGATTTGGTGTTAAAGTATTGATAGGTGTCCTCTCTTAATGTTGTGCCAATTTATGGCTGTTAGACAGTTGTATTTTGTATCTTGGAAAACTGTGAAGTACTTTTAGGTTTTCTTTTATGTTTTTTTCTTTCTTTCTATTTTTGGTGTGATAAATTGTTAATTTCATCTTTGAAGAATATAGTATAATTTTGGTTTACTTGTACAGGCAAAACAAAAACATTTATCTTTTCAGTGCCAACTGTTCAATAACCAGCTTCTCTGGTCTCCGAGTCCGTTATTCGGTAATGATGAAAAGACAGTGATTGGTGAAAATGGTCAATCAAAAGAGAACTGGGATAAGTTAATTGATTCATGCCAGCCAATAGAGAAGTTTCTTGAATTTACACCTTCAAGTGATCAAGTAGACATGGAGACCATTTCTTTAGTGAATACAGATGATTCAGCAGATGTCCAGGAAACTTCAGATAAATTTGCTGAAGGAAATGCATGTGATGTTGGTTCTATATATCAGTTCATTGTTCCATTAAGTCTGATTGAGAGGTGGGGAAGTGCCATGGGTATCTTTACATTATTGTTTACTTTTATTGATGCCAATTTCCATTTTAATGCATTTACTGATTGTTTCTGCTTAAAAGTTAGAAGTAATCCTTAATGAAGTTTAGATATTGTTTACCCTGATTCCAAACGGTGCTGTTGTTTACGAAAAGCTATTATCGGTATGTGAAAGGTACTGGCTCCCTTTTGGCAACTGTCCAGGTAGAGTTTCCTTCTTAGGATATTGATATTTATAATGTTATGCTTAAAGTTGAGGCTATTGGTCTAGCTCTTATGCTATAGGCTTTTCCCCATTAATGATATTACATATATATGAACGGTCAATGTGCAGCTAAAGAACAAGGGAAAAACATCTTCCTTGAAGGAGCAGTGCCTTAGATATTTTACTCCTAGGGAGGTATGTGTTTCTCGACATTTACATTGAACCCTGGTTTGGTGTTCTCATTTATGAAGCGATTTTACAAATTCTAAAGAGCTTTCTTTGAGAATGATTAGGTTGCCAATTTGCATTCTTTTCCAAAGGACTTTGAGTTCCCGAAGCACATAAGTCTTAGACAACGGTATGATGCTGCTGTCCTTGAAAACGTTGAACTATTTAAAAAATGTAGCATTAGACAACGTTTCCAATTGTTTGAGCAATACAAAGCTATCTGAATCATCTTTTTTGATGCAGTTATGCAATGCTCGGAAATAGTTTGAGTGTAGCTGTTGTTGCCCTTTACTCCAGTATATGTTTGCCGATCCATCTTGATTTTTAGCTCAAGACTTGCTTTTACCAGATGCAGACCTGTTTTGCTTCTTCAGTCGCATAACCAGTGTTTGAAGTTCTTAAGCAACGGCATCGAGGCTCCACTCGGATCTAGACTGAAAACCTTGGTGGCTGATGATGAAGGGGTTTCTATAGCCAAGTACCCACTCTGATCTGGGAGAGCAAGTTGCACTGCATCATTTGTTGTAGCTTCCCTTTCCCTACAAAAGAAACCAAAGCATATGATGTTAACTTTTGAATTATAGCCTTAGGGTGTAGGGAATGGAAACACCAATAAACTGATATCCTATTGATCAATATCATGATGTATTATATTAGATTGGAATTATTAAGCCTGAAAAATGAGTTGAGTAGCAAAAATGGACTCCAAATTACCATTTGCAAATATCAATAATGAAACAACAAACTACTTAGGATGATAGCTAAGAGTCCTCAAGATAACATAACCATGGCAATCACAGATAGTTAAGAGCCCCTTCAAAATATCCAATTAAGTGCTACTTGTAGTTGTTGACGAAATCCCATCGCTTCTACTCATGCGCTAAGCAAGAACCTTCTATGTACTCAATTCAATGCTTTTTTGTAAACAAACCTTTAATTGCGTTCTTTAGATATGTAATATTTCAGTCAAATTTCTATAATTTTCCTCATTAAATTCAAATAAGTTATATTTAGATCGTTTACATTATCGGTTTATTAAATTTTAGTTACACCTCGATCATTATGTTGTCGATTTATTAAATTTTAATCATTTACGCTAGTGATTGTATATTTTGGTCATTAAGCCGTTAACTTTTGTTGGTTTAACGATGTGACACGTTAGTTAAAAAGGAATTAATTTTTAATTTGATCCTTAAATTTTAGATAGAATAATAATTTGACTACTAACTTTAGATGAAATATCATTTTAATCCCTAAATTTTAGATAAAATATTAGTTTTATTCCTAAATTCAAGTAAATTTTAGGTGTTGTTCATCACTCACCACAATTGTCGGTCGTCATCATGATTGTTGGACTCTAATATTTAAGTTCTCTCCTTTGTTTACTTCTTGAACGCAAATCTGGTATCCGTGTCGTCAAAAAATATCCCGAACTCAAGAAATCTAGCCTAAAATCCTTTGAATTACTATAAAATTAAACCATAATAATAACTTTAATATCTAAGTTCTTTTAAAATTAAAGAAATAAAACCAACAACTAGTTGGTCTAGTGGGATGAGACACTATATCCCTTAAGCAAGGTCAAAGGTTCGAATTCTAGCTTTTGCGAATGAAAAAAATTGGGTTGAGAGTAGGGCTGTAAATGAGACGAGACAAACCGCGAGCTACTCGAGATCGACTCGTTCAAAGCTCGATCAACACTTGAATCGAATGAATTGGACTCGAGCTCAAACTCGACTCAAATTCTTAACGAGCTAAAACGAGCTACTTAATACTCAACTCGAAAAGCTCGCGAGCTACTCGATAAAAATGTTATATTATAATTTTAGATTTTTTAAAATTACATTATTAAAAATATATTAAAAATACATTATTGATAATTATAAATTTTTAAAAATATATTTTTAAATGTAATATAAGATTTTTGTAGGTTCAAATTCGAGCTTCAATCGAGCTTTTGAATTTTTTTTGAGTTCGAGCCTTTTCGAGTTCGAGTCGAGTTTCAATTTTATATTTCGAGTTCGAGCTGAGCTTGATAATTTTTAGCTTCGCGAGTTTTCGAGTCGAACCTAATTTTAAACTTTTCGAGTTCGAGTCAAGCTCAGCAATACTCGAGCTCGACTCGGCTCGTTTACAACCCTAGTTGAGAGGGTCACCCTCGCCTCTATAGTACTCAATCCGAATTAATCGATCGATAGATTAAATATCAGTAATTATACCCAAAAAAAAAGTTTAAATCTACATCATAATCAAATATATGTTTGTCATACCCCATCAACGTAACACATTTTTCACAACTCTGATATTGCAGCCACACCCAAATGATTTTGCACTACAAACCCTTTGAAATCTTCGACTCTAAAAAAAAATTCTTCATTGAAAAAAAAAACTTTTTACTTTCTCACAAACCCTAAATCAGCTTCATTAAAATAAAGAGTTCCTCAAACTATTTGGTTTATGTAATCTAACCATTTAATTTTCCTAAACCCTAAACTAAAATATTATCAAAATTTTAAGAGCTGAAGTCTTGATTAAATCACTCTTTGTTGCCGAGAAATTTTAGGGTTTTTTTTTTCAAATTAATGTTTTTTTCATCTTTCTTCTTATGTATGTTTTACATATTAAAAAATTTATTTAATTCAGTCAATTCATAAAGTCGTTACAAATTAACGGTAGAGTGATAAAAAAAATCAATGTCTAAATTTCAGTATTTAAATTAAGAAAAATTTAAACTTCAATGACTGAAATAGGAATGAAAAAAGTTCAATAAAAAATATGTAATTTATCCATTGTATTTTTTTATTTGAAGTCAAATTTTTAAAATAAAACTTGATGGAGTATTCACAAAACTTCAAGTCACAGATGGAGATCAAGAAATTGATGATACAATGGTAAAGTGCAGTGGAATAGAAGCAAGGAAAGAATTAAGCATTAAAATTAAAACATGAAAAGAAGCACATCTGCAATATATAATGAAAAGAGCCCCACCTCTCCTCTTTCCCTCATTCCTCCCTTAGGCTTTAGCCATAACAATTTGATTGAAACATATTCGATCTTCACATTTAATGCTCTATCACCATATATGCCTACTTTTTATCTTCCTTCTTTTCTTTTCTCTCTCTTTATTTTGTCAGCTTTGCTCTCAGCCAGTTCTGGGATTTTCTGGATGAACCTGTTAAACCATAACAATCAATGAATCGTAACTTCGGAAACATGCATGCTATATCCTACTTATGTTCGAATATGAGTCGGAAATGTTAAAGATATACCTGATATAACCTATCTTCCTTGTAGCTTCTACTTCTAAGCTTAAGCTCTCCTCTGCTGGTTGTCATCTCATCCAATACTTCGGCATCATGGAAGTCATCATCGGTGCCTTCACCGCCGGTAGATGGTTCTCCTTCCTGTATGCATATCATTCATGTTTGAATCAAATTGCATATCATCTATGGTACAACACAATTGTTTTGAAAGATGTACCTGGAGTGATGCTCTTCTTGGGGTACCGATGATTTCTTCGTACTCGGAAGCATCAAGTTCCTGAAGATGTTCGGGATGGAATAACTTGGGAAGGACGTGCTGTCTGATGCCGATGAGAAGGATGAAAGGTACTGGAAACAGTATTCCAGCTAGAGGTATCCATGTGACCCCGAAACATATCAGAAGATATACAATTTGGAAGGCTGTAAATAACAGAATGGCATTGAAAGGTACCGACTCCAGGTATGATGCATGAAGAGTTTCCAGGACTCTGTTCAACCAAATGTTACACATTAGAAATTAGCTTGGTTTTCGACATTATTTAAAGGTGTTATATGGGTACGATCGACGTACTTGTAACGCCTGCTGGGGGCGATGAAGATCAGCAATATTCTTTCCCAGAACTGGCAACCTGGGAGGCTGTCAATGGCCATATAGGCAAAATAGCCCCAAAGTACTGATGTAGGGATCATCCTTATTAGAGGTATAATACACAATGAAAGTCCCGTAAGGACTGACTGCAACAGGTTGCTCATTCTTTGCTCATTCACTCTAACAGGTAAATAAGCATCGATATTTCTCGGGATCGAATTTTTCTTTTCCGTTCTTCCCATCGTTGTCTTTCATCATACCCTCTTTCAAGTTCTTCAACTCTTTATCTGCTGAATCACACTGCAACTACATTCCATGTTATGTTGCAATGAGTCTCGCAATCTAACATGTCCCGATCTATAGAAGCTGTAGGAGTCTAGAGTACTTACAGACGGAGATGCGTCCAATTCTATAAACACAGCTTCCATTCTTCCATAGATTTCTGATTGGCTTGCTTGTTGCTTCATGCCCTCCTTGACACTTTTCACCATTTTTCTCCGAATCATCTGCATTCACCGGATTATATAGTCTAAGAACCGACATTAAACAGAGCGATATTTAAAGTAAGAGAATAGCTTCCAAGAGTTAGTGGCAACATACCCGCTTCTTGAGAACTGCAAGGCTCTTTGTGTGCATGGGAGATTGCGGTAGGACGCCATTTGAAGGAGGGAGTCCCAAAAACCCACAGATCAAAGTCTGAAATCATGATTGTGAAGAAGCATTGTAAGAGTAAAAATTAGCATGAAACAGATTTCAAAACAAAACTTGTAGGGGAATGATCAGTTATGTACCGTAATTCCGAGAATCAAGACATCATAATGGTAAGCAGAGGGCTTTTTAAGGTTGAACTCCTTTTGCTGTGCCATCTGCGAAGCGACGCTGTGATAGAAGAAGTATAGACCTGCTATCATTAGTGCTGGTATAATGGCAGCAAAGATGTACAGTACTGGTACCCTTCCCATATCCTATAAAAGAGATATGATTAAGTCAAGATTTATATTTGATTATAATCTATACAACTTATATACCTTCATCACTGTCCATTGATACATTGATTCACGTTCCCAAAGAAGTGGACTTAAAAGCCTCCTAGGAACTCCAGAGACGACTTTTCGGGGTATGGCGTATGACAATGCTGTCCAACATAGGACCATTAAGGGAACACCATAGTCTGCGATGAAACCTCGAAACCAACCTGAAACCAGAGTCGATAAATACATTGATTGGACAGAAAAAAAAACCCAACAATCTTGTACTAAATGTCTAACGTGAAACAATTATAGGTTGATCCTAGTTCGGCTGGTTGATGCACCTGTTCCGTAACGCCATGATCTTGCCTTTCGTGTCTTTAGGGAGGTTAATAGAACCCCAAATGAGAAAATGATTCCCAGCAATCCATTTGTGTATAGCCATTGGAACTGATACTTCTCCTCTTTAGGATTTTCACCTTCGGGCACATTGAATTCACTGACCACTCCCTAATGATAAAACAAAAGTATCATTATCAGGGTCAAAACAACATGATTTTAGTCATCATAAACATTGCTCCTAAGTTATTGAATACCCTAATAGCCTGTTGAAGGAAAAGAACGGTTATCAACATGCCAAAAAGCTCGCCTGCAATTCTGGTAAATCTGTTGATTATGGTGGCTACATTGAATACAGCAAGGAGAACGAGCATCACGGCGGTCCATATACAGACCCTGGGGAAGGAAAACAAAAGAAACAAACTTAGACATAAAGCACATTTTCTGCAGAATCAAGCATAGGAAACTATAACCATTACCATGAAGTCC